TCGATTAATTAAGTTGATTATTAATACTGAATATTCTAATAAGAACACATACCTTAGGCAGTCTATAATTTTTGTCCAATTTCGTGATATTATACGCAGTGCACTAACTCGATTACGCGAGGGCCACCGTAAATAAGGGCGAACATCCGCCGCAACGCAACGAGCGACACTATTCCGTCTCTTCGACGCCAAGCGCGGTCTCGGTGAACGCTTCTAGACTCCCACCCCCTTGTCGGCGGGCCGGCGGCCATTCGCCCCTCACCATAACTGCAACCCCCCCGGCCACGCCTCGCCGGCGCTTTGCCCGCGGCGCCGATACTTATGGAGGCGTCGTGGACGCGTCGCCACCATGCTCCGCTATCCGCCTCTCTCGCGGTGATTTATTGCGCGCCGCGCCCGCTCTCACCGCCCGCTCGCCCCGCGCCGCGTCCGGCGGAAACGGAGCGCAGTAGAGGCGCGCACGAGCGACGCGCGTTGTCACGGCGCCCATCGGAAATTCCGTGCTCCGGCGGCATCGCTTAGCATGCGCACCGACGCGCGAACCCTACTACCCGCCATCCAACCCACCAACTCAGCCTCGAGGCACTACCACCTCACACACCTCGCGGCAGCTCGGCAACTGTTGGCTGCGAAAGCTCAGATGCAGCAGCCCTTGTGGCAACAATCTGCCCTCGGTAGGTCCTGCTTTGTGTTAAATACTCGATCAACTGACGAATTGAGCCAAGTTGGGACGAAGTTCACGACCAACTGAGATAAACGCATGGCTCTCTGATCGGTAGTATTTCATAGTTCCTCCGATCAAAACTAGTCGGATGCCGGAAGAAGGGCCTAATAAATGGGCACCTGAAGACATTCGGGTTTCCCGGCGGCGTGGCTTTAGCCTCGTTCAGACGCGACGTCCTGCATGCCCGCACCCGTAGCTCAGCGTCCAAACCACTCGGCCGCTGCAAACTCCTCAGCGGGAGGCATCAATATACTTCTGCAATATCGTTGGCTGACGCTGTACACACAGAAACTATCGTACCTAGCTGCACAATCTTGGTTGAATTACGCGCTGACCGAGATGGATGCTGTTTTGATCGTTTAGTTTTCCGTAGTTCTCCACTCAATATTTGCAAAAATTAACGGAGCAGTTTCCTCAAACGGGTCCACGCAACCGCGAGTACTATTCTTGATACCTCCCTTCTCCTTAAATCCGCACTTACTGCCTGTCGTATGTCGGAAGATCGCTCTGAGTGCAGGTTGTTCACTGCTCATGTTTGAGCTGGGTGGGAGGGCGAGGTATCGCAGTGCCGACGGTGGTCTGTGTGTGCGCAGGGCGACGGTACGCCGCGGGGGGGCTGGCGCCACAGCTGGTTTCAATGCTCTGTGTAGGGGGTGGGAGGCGGGTGTGCAGTGCTGACCCAGGAGGTCTGTGTGTGCGCAGGGCGACGTACGCGCGGCGGGGCTGGCGCCGTGGTTAATTGTCTGTCGAGGTGGTCTGGGAGGGCGAGGTGTGCAGTGCGACGGAGGTCTGTGTGTGCCCGCAGGGGACGTCGCCGCGGCGGGGCTGGCGCCCAGCTGGTTCCAATGCTCACTGTCGAGTGGTTGGGAGGGCGAGGTGTGCAGTGCTGAGAGGTCTGTGTGTGCGCAGGGCGAACGTCGTCTGAGGAGGGGCTGGCGCCAGCTGTTCACTGCCCTTCTTGTCGCGGGTGGTTGGAGGCGAGGCTTGTGCAGTGTGACCGGAGGTCTCGTTGTGCGCAGGGCGTACGTACGCTCGATGCGGAGGGGCTGCGCCGCCCAGCTATGGTTCCATCGCTCATGTCGACGTGTGGTTTCGTGCGGGGCGAGGTGTGCAGTGCTGACGGGGGTGTGTGTGCGCAGGGCGACGTACCCGCGCGGGCTGCAGCCGCTGTCGCCAGCTGGTCCAGTGTTCCTGAGGTGGTGTTAGTTCTTGATTAGCGCCGGTTGTGCCCAGTGCTGAGGAGGTCTGTGTAGTGCGAGGCAACGTACCGCGCCGCGGCGGGGCTGGCGCCCAGCCTGGTGCCAATGACTCATGCGAGGTGGGTAGCCGAGCCTGTCGCCGGGAGGATAGAACTGCAGTGCTGACTGGAGTCTTGTGGCGCGGGCCCTGCGACCACAGTCGCTAGGAGGGCTGCTGCGCTCCAGCTGGTCTCCACTGCTCTTGTCTCGAGGTTTGCGGAGCGGCGAGGTATGATTGTCGTACAGTGCTGACGGAGGTTCTGTTGTGCGCAGAGGCGACGACGCTGAGGAGGGGGCTGGCGCCCGCTGGTTCCAATGCTCATAGTTCGAGGTGTGGGAGGGCGAGGGTGTGCAGTGCTGACAGGAGGCTCTGTGGTTGTGCGCCAGGGCGTCCGCGTACCCCCGCCGGCGGGCGCGGGCTGGCGCCCCAAGCTGGTTTCAAATGCCTTCCTGTCGAGGTTGCGTGCGAGGGGCGAGGTGCGTGCAGTGCTGACGGATGGTCTGCTGTGTGCGCAGGGCGACGTACGCCTAGAGAGGGGCTGGGACGCCCAGTTGGTTCCAATGCTCCTGTCGAGGTGGGTGGAGGCGCGGGTGTGCAGTGCTGACGATGAGTTCTGTGTGTCGCGCAGGACGCGACCGCTCGCTTGAGGAGGGCTGGCGCCCCAGCTGTTCCATAATGCCTCCCCTGTCGAGCGTGGGTGGGGGCGAGAGTGTGCAGTGCTGACGAGCTGTTGTTCTGTGTGCTGCGCAAGGGCACGTACGCTGAGGAGGGGCTGGCCGCCCCAGCTGGTTCCAAATGCCCTTGTCGAGGTGGGGTGGGAGGCGGGGTGGTGCAAGTGCGACGTGTGGTCTGTGTGGTGCGCGAGGGGCGATGTACGCCGCGGCGGGTCTGGCGCCCACCTGTTCCAATGCTCATTGCGAGGTGGTTGGGGAGGGCGATGGTGCGAACGGAGGTCTGTGTCGTGCGTCAGCGCACGTACGCCGGCGGGGCGGCGCCCAGCTGGTTCCAATAGCCTCATGTCGAGGTTAGGTTGGCAGCTGCGGCTGTTACTATCTGCTGAACGTGCATCTATGGTGTGCCTATGCTGACGGTGGTCCTGTGTGGACGCGCAAGCGACGTTACGCCGCCGCAGGCTGGTGCGCCAGCTGGTTCAATGCCTCATGTTGAGGTGGGTGGAGAGGGCGAGCGTGTGCCATGCTGAGGAGGGTTGTGAATGTGCGCCGGGCGACGCTACCCGCGGCGGGCTGGCGCCCAGCTGTTCCACGCCCGCCAAACATGCTGGCTGCACGCGGCGGCAGTCGCACTGCTCTTCACGCGCGTGTGCCCGCGCCGTGCCGGCCTCACCGCGCCTTTCGCCGCCGTCGCCGACTCCTCTTGCCGCGCACTCACCTGACACCGAGCGGTGAGTAGGCCCCACTACCAATCCTAGTGGCGCTGACAGCATGATAGACGCTATGACTTGGATCGGAGGCGATTTTACTTTTATTAGGAAGAAAATGTGAATTTATTTGATCTCTTGCTTTGAGTTTACAATATTTTACCATTTTTAAATATAATATTGTCTAGGCAGTGTGCTTTATAGCTGCTTATGTGTCGTGATCTTTCACGAGTTATTTAAACTCCTTTTTATAACCTACAAGGTCGCTTTCAATCTACGAGTGATACTCAGTCTTTAATGACAATTCCACAAACGCAGACATCATTTTTAGAAGTAAGTAGAGTCTCCCTCCTGGTACGTGTCATTTAAATAGTTCTTTCATAAATAAAATGTAATTAACGGTCAAGACAAGAGAACATTCTTTCATTAACGGTATAATGTCCGCTTTATATTATCTTGTGCCTGTACCGATCGTCACAAGTTGACCTCATACCTTTTTACATATCTGTACTGACGCTGCTTAAAGCGGTTTAGAGAACCTTGCGTGAATATTCGCTCAGTTCTAAAGACGCTGGAAGGCTTCTCTAGTAATTGAGTGCAATTTTGTTTTTGGATCTAGTCCATAAAACTGCTAGTCTAAATATCTCAGTTAAACGAGATTAAGTGTATGTTACTAGCTTCGTACTCCAACTACTCAAAATTTGTAGATGATCGTCAGAGAACACTCTGCTAAAACTAGCCTGCAGATTTTCGAGATTTCTGTATTTTCTCCCACATTCGATTGGACGGATCATTGGTCTCTTTACAAGAACAATTTTGCTTGTAGCGCAGTAACAGGCTACTACGTATCATGGTAACTTTCGTTTAATCGAATCAAATTTTATGTTGTAAATATCACATTTCAACAAGAAACGGCGTATTCTCGTTTTCCTATGAGTAGATCAGAAATAAAAAGCACATTAAACAAATTCCAGTTTAAAACGTCTTAACAATGTTATGCAATATGTTACAAATTTGTGAGAAATGCCATCGACTGCTGCGAATTTCTTCACTTTCGTGACAAGAGTACCTATTTCCCACACACTACGTAACAAGTGCATTTAGTCCAGGAGCATTCCCAGCGTGAAAATGAATGCTAGTTTTTACGATGTCTCGGCTATGCGAGCTCTGCGACAAAATAGTGCCTGACGCATTTGCTATAATTCAACGACTTGCTGATTTTGTAATTACTAGCAGAAATTATCATATCATTACTGAATTAATAATTATAATTGTTTCTTCAAATTCACCGTCCATTACATTTCAACTCCTCATTCCCGGCCAGTTACTTATCGCTTGCTTACTCGAAACTACACAAATATTGTAGAATTGTGACAATCCAAAAGGTGTTTCAAAAAGAATTTATTCTGCGACTCGAAGATTTATTTCTGCCTCCTAGAGAGTGGTTGGCTTTTTCATATCCCATTACCTCCTTATCACTTACAATCATTAGCTTCACATTTTCTCATTTCTCCATTATTACCATTTTAACGTATCAGGAGTCAGAGGTTTTGCGTATTTACTTAGTGATTTAATGCTCCTGTCGAGGTGGGTGGGAGGGCGAAGTGTGCAGTGCTGACGGAGGTCTGTGTGTGCGCAGGGCGACGTATGCCGCGGCGGGACTGGCGCCCAGCTGGTTCCACGCCGCCAACGTGCTGCTGCACGCGGCAGCGTCGCTGCTGTTCACGCGCGTGTGCCGCGCCGTCGCCGGCCTCACCCCGCGCTTTGCCGCCGTCGCCGGTCTCCTCTTCGCTGCGCACCCCGTGCACACCGAGGCGGTGAGTACAGCCCTCTCTAACCCTGCCTGCAGCAGATAATACACCTGCACGCTGGATGGGAGACGATTGTTATTTGTGTTGGAATGACATGTAATTTCATTCATCACGTGCTTTCATTTACATAGTTTACATATTTAATTTTAATATTGTCTAGCAGTGTTCTTTTAGCTCTTATGTTTTTTTTTATGTCTTTCGAGTATATTAAACTCTTTTAAAACCTACAATGCTTTCCAAATCTAGAAGTGAATCGTCTTTATAAATTAATCCACAAACGGCCAGATAATCAATTTTTAGAATATATGAGTCTGCTCCCTGTACCTATGTCATTAAATAGTTTATAAATAAAATAAAGTAAGGCTAAGACAAAGAAATACTTTAGATTACTTCTAATGTCGATTTTATTACTTGCTGTATTGCTGTACCACCGCCACACTTCACCCATAAATTAACTTCTCTGTACATGACGTGTAAAGCGTTTAGAACTTTACGTGAATTCACTTAGTTTTAGCCTGAAAGCTTTCCTAGTAATTGAGTCAAATTTTTTTGAAGTCCATAAAACTGCAGTACAAATCTCTCAGTTAAAGAGAAAGCTTTGTTACTAGCTCTCTAATACAAAAATGTTGTAGATGATCGCAAAACATCTCTTAAACTCTGCCTGCACTTTCGAGATTTTCCTGTATTTTCTGCCCAATCATTTGGACGATCATTGGTAGTTTTACAAAACAATTTGCTTAGCGCAGGTAAAAGGCTAATATCATGGTAACTTTTCGTTTAATTCGATCAAATTTATGTTTAAATATCAATTTCAAAAGAACGGTATTCCTCGTTTCTAGATAGATCAGAAATATACAAAGCAATTAAACAAATTCAGAAAACGTCTTAAATCAATGTTATGCAATATCGTTACAAAATTTGTGAGAATGCCATCCACGCTGCTGGATTTTCCACTTTTCGTGACAAGAGTACCCTATTTCCCCACACACTACGTAACAAGTGCATTTAGTCCAGGAGCATTCCAGACAGTGAAAATGAATGCGTATGTTTTGATGTCTGCTATTGCGAGCCTCTGCGAAAAATAGTGCCCTGACGCATTTGCTATAATTTCACGTCTTGCATTTGTATTACTAGGCAGAATTATCATATCATACTGAATTCAATTATTATAATTGTTTCTTCAAATCACCTCCATTATTTCAACCTCATTCTCCGGCCCAGATTACTTCGCTTGCTTACTCGTAACTTCACAATGTTGTAGAATTGTGACAATCAAAAGGTGTTTCAAAAAAATAATTTATTTCTGCGAACTCAGAATTTATTTTCCTCCTAGAGAGTGTTGCTTTTTCAATCCCATTACCTCCGTTATCACTTAAAATCATTAGTTCACATTTTCTATCTTTCCATTATTACCATTTAACGTATCAGGAGTCAAGGTTTTGCGTAATTCTACTTAGTGATGATCATTATTGAACATTGACTCTTAGTTTTTTTATAATTCGCCCTTGTTCCTTGTCGATTGGTTACTAATGTGCTCATTGTTATTCAAGCATTCATGGCTCCTAATACTAAAAAGTCAGTATTCGTATACCTGCGCTTTTATGTGTCTAAGAAATTACACATTTCTGCAAATCCTTCGGAAGAGTTATAATGCAAACCTGTGAATGGCGGTAAACAAAGAATACTTATGTCTATTTTGTCTATTTTGCCTATACTAGTCTAAAACAAAGGAAATTGCTGAGGTTTTGGTGAGCTTTTCTAATAAATTGTATTACACCAGCCCAAAAAAAGCAAGTCACATCACTTGAAAACGATCACTTTTCCTCATTTTACTTCCGTTTTAGCATATTGCTACGAAGGCAGGCATATGTTATATTTCATACTAGTTACACCAAGTTTCAACGGGCCCTACATATCAAACATTTACGTATTCAAAGCTATGTGATTTTTGAGCCTAGTGTAGACCTTTGATATTTCAATATCCTACTTTTAAACTATTTCCTCCCTGAACCTCTGTACTCTCCTATATATAACAGAGATCCTGCCACCGCCAAAGATTTGCACCGTAGTTATGGACAAAACGTTTGGCCCCCTCAACTTTAACTGGACCACGGCCTTCCAGTCCAGAAATTTCTCTGATATTGACTCAAACCGTAAAAGCCTACAATGATATACATCAGCGACAAATTCTGCTGCTGCTGCTATTGAAACAACCACCCTCGTTCCGGAGAGCGCGGAACTCCAGGAATGCCCTGAGCTCTATCGACAACGAGCGAGACAGCCGACGCGAACGCGAACGCGAACGCGAAACGCCGACATCGCGAACGCGAGAAAGCCGCACAGAGCAACGCCACGCGAACGCTACGCGACCGAAACGGCGAACGCCAACGCGAACGCGACCGCCAATGGCGAATGCGACGCGCAACCCAAACTCCAACGGCCAACGCAAAAGCTATCACGAACGCGAACGCCAACGCGAACGCCAACGCGAACGCCCACGCGAACGCCACGCGAACGCCACGCGAACGCCAACGCAAAGGCCAACGCGAACCTGATCGTCTCAGTCGCGATGCAACGGAGTGCAAGGTCGCCCGTGCCGCCACAAACGCATTGCGGCCGCGGTCACGGCCAAAGGCGAGGGTCGGAGAGGACCTGATGAGGCGCTCGCTTGCTCGGTGGGCGTCCGCCCCCCTGGGGTTCTGCTCCCCCGCGGGGTTCGCGGTTCCCTACGCCCCCCCCCACACGCCCCCGCGCGCCCGACAGCACTTCCAGGACGTGGCTGCGCCCCAACACGACAAGCTCGTCCAATCGCGTCGATGCTGTTCCCGCGAGCTTCCGCCTCCTGCAAGAACGGAATTAACGCTATACATGTTTGCCTAACCGCACAGCTCAAGCACACTGTAATTCCAAGAGCCATGGTCCCGAATTCCCGTTAGCAGCTCCTCCCTCTTTCTGAATGAGGTCAGATTGGCCACAATCATCCGCGGCTGCCGTCTGACAAAGAGGGCGCCCTGGATGTCGTGTGGCTCCAGACATCCACCTGCGCGGCTGCTTTAAGGAAACACATTTCAAGGTACGACCAAGACCTTCAATTAACTTCAGTGATTTCAATTTTGTTTCAGTATATAGAGGATAGTAGATTGAAGTTTTAACTTGTTTCTAACCAAAGTATAAGTTTTTTCCCCCTGAAAATCCAAAAAAATTGTCAAATTTGTTACTAGACACTATAAGAATTTCTTTATTTTCCCCAATATTTTTTTCTAATAAACGGTCTCGTTAACTAAAATGTGGTCAGTTTCTAAGGATAGAAATTGACCCAAAAAGGAACACTTATTATCTTTTTCGGGCACGAGCGAACACTTAAAACCAGGAGAGATGCCAAACGATATCAATTAAGGGACCCCTATTATATGTTGCCCTATATTGAAAATTCAATTATTATGCCCACCGAACACTAAATTTGCCCCAACTGCGCGCAGCGCAAACGTCGGAATTGTATAAGCAGAATTTCTTCAATAATATTTCATAGCGATCAGGTTTGTTTTTAATTTTATATGCGGTTGTTTTTCATTTTTAAGAACATTCTATCCAAATATTTTTTATCAGTATATTCATAAACCATAAGTGATAAAATACAAAAAAAGTTTCTATCTTGATCCGGTTATTCATGAATAACAATACAATCTAGAGAAAGCAGTAAATTATGTTATAGATCATATATCACTATGACCCGTAGATCACTAGAGGAGGGGGTCGCTGACATTGCGTCGCCCCGATATTTCATTTTCTTTCGTATAATGTTTGTAAGATCATCACTGTTAGAATATTTTTATAATAGCTGAAAAAAGATCTCAAATATTGTGATGTTTTGTTCTATTTTACGCGAAATAACTCAAGTCTACATTTTCCATTTTGAAATACCTCCCAGAGAATGAAACCGTCAAGGGAAGTCCGGCGATCCGAAAAAGATCTGGCCGGATCCCCGTGCACTTGAAGGCCATCCTCCCAGAGAAACGAGCTTCATTCATATCTCCGTGGCGGAGCGGGCTGACGCGAGG